CCTTAAAACAGGAGTATGGAGTACTGTGCGACATGTTGAAGGACACAAATAAAAATGACACTTAAATTTTAGACATCGCCTATTTTATTGACTACAATATACAGAAAATATTATGTACATGTGTTAAGTATAGCCATTTTAAATAAAGTCATCATCACTATTTTCCTCTGCTTCCTCGATGAAGGGGTTCCCAGTTTGTGTTTTTCTGCGCTTTCGCGGTCTTGGGTTGCCAGATCGTTGCCTCCTGATGTTATTATTATAGTTGTTGTGTACAACAGACGGAAAGTGAAGTGGCGGAGATACTCTCGTTTTCTCCATAGATGGCTTAATCTTTCCTCTCCTGTTGTTGTTATTGTTGTTGTTACCATGGTCTCGGCTCCCCTCCTCCTCCTCCTCCTCCCCCCTCCTCCTTCTCGCTCTCGCTCGCGCCGGTTGCCACATCGCACGAATTCTCCCCTCGTTTCCTCCCCCTCTTCGCTCTCTGCCGCCTCGGAAAGGTGTTTAATGTCTGGATGACCATATGCTAGCGATTTATAGGCATTTACATACCAACGTTTATCATCGTATAATGACAGCCCGCGCTTTTTCATTTGCGTGGTCATCATTTGACCTCCAACGTTGGTAATGCTCACCTGTTTAAAGAAATGCACTTCTTTTTCATGAAGAATGCGACGGAAATTGTCGTGTTTTAGCCTCCTCTTCTCAGCCCGACAAATTCCCTTTGCACCCGCGGATGTTTGATCTATTTAGGAGCAAGGAATAAGTCTTGGGCTTTAGGCAAATTGCCTCTTTTATCGGAATCTCCCCTGTTTCAGATTTTAATAATCCAAGTTTGCCCTTGACAGACTGGTTGTATAATGGATGGTCATGGCTAAAATTAGAAGTGTCTATCCACTCTTTCAAAGGAGATAAGGACAATTCTTTATAAATGTCATCTGTCCACAGAGAGGATATAGCTGTCGGTGTCGGAGTAACAGAGCTGCACACGATCTCCGTAATGAGTCTTTAAAACTTTATAATAAAAGTTATACAATTTCAATTTAGCCAGCTCCAAGATGGTAAATCCAACATACTGCGGATAAGCCATACTAACAGTTTTTGCCCTTGAAATGGTTATCACTCTGTTTGGAGCTAAGGGGATGAATCTTTTGAAGAATGGGCTTCGAATCTTTTTGAGAAAAGAAGAAGCATTGCACACCATGCTAGCACGTTCTAGTCTTTTTAGAGGGTTCATTAAACACCGCCCAAAGACACTGTTTGAAAGCGTCTTGAAGCACAACTGTTGTGCTTTATCGGTGGCTTCCCTGCGCGCCTTAATATTTTTTCGTGAATAAAAGGCGATAAAATTCACGTTGGGAGAATTCGTACACATCGCTTACTCGCTCCACCTCCACCCCAAGTCAATTAAAAGCTGCAAATGTTTCAGTAAAATGAGGTGGTCCTTCTGCGGAAGATGTGAAGCCACAGCTTTTTTGGTTTTTGCGTGGTAAACGC